TAATAATTTTATTTAACATTCAACCTATTGTAGTTATGGTCGTAGTGAAGGAACCCCATCAGAAAGGGGTCTCAAAATTGACGCACAAGTAAGACTAACCAATTTTTTTTCAATCTTCAAATAAATGATACACTTATTTAATTAATTATAAAGATTGTAATAATAATGTATTTGATTTTATTATTTGTTTAGACGGCGTTGAATTACATTTGTAATCACCAAACACTTAAACACACAAAAATTATTCTATATGGCCAATCACTTGGTGGTGCTGTGGCAATCGATCTAGTTTCAAAGAACGAAAGAAAGGTTTTTAACTTAATTATTTTAGCATTTTATATTTTTTTCAAAACTAATTCCATTACCTTTCTAATTATTAGGTAGCTGGTCTAATGGTCGAAAACACTTTCCTGAGCATCGTAAGTATTTGCTGTTAATTAATATTATAAAAAGGCGTCTTTCAAAAGCTAAAAACTATTTATAAATACCTCAATTTATAGCCAAAATTAATACCGCATGTAGTTCCTCAACTCCGCTACTTTGCGTTTTTATGTACACAAAAATGGGAATCAGAAAAAGCCATAAAACATATAAAAAATATTCCGATTTTATTTCTTTCTGGGACTGACGATGAACTTATTCCGAAAGAGCATGTAAGGAAACTATATGATTTAGTAGAAGGAAGTAGAAAAGTGCTTCGGGAGTTTCCGAATGGTAAACATGGTGATACCGTCGCTCAGCCGGGTTATTTTGAAGCTATTCGGGATTTTTTGATTAAAGAGAGATTTGCTTGAAAATTATTTTGTTTTGAATATTGATGGGTGTCATGTAATTTTTAATGAATAAAAATAAATGAGAATACATTTAACAATAATAATAATAATAATAAAATTTTGCAGTCTTGTGATATACTTGGAATATACATTATGAACAAATCTTGTCATTTATTTGTCGCTGTTTTTAAAATGACTACTAGCTTTAAGTAGAGATAAATTTTTTGTTTCTAGCTATTTAACGTTTGAAAAGCGAAAATTATTTACAGTTAAAAATTGTTCATACGAAGCTCTTTGATTGATAGTTCATCACTAACGGATCTGTTCTTAACTATAACAATAGTTGATGT